TAAATATATAAGAAATGAATAGAGAGATAGTAAACATAACTATTTTTTATATTAGTTATATGTATAGAATTTATCCACGAGATTTCTAATACTTATGTAACATAAGAATCTAGGCCATGTTAGAGCTCGTGTTGATGGGGTCCAATTTCTCTAATCCTTAAATTATAAATGTACGTTGTTTTAGGATTGTATGTATTTTTTTATTTTGACCGTAAATATGTGATAACACATGGTTGTTGATGCTCTCACAATCATCATGGAAGTATTTTCATAGTATATAATTTTCATTATTCCAAAAAAGTATATTTGAACAAAAAAAAGCAAGCCGAAGTGGTACTAGAAACCATGTATTGTATCCTAAACGACCTACATTTGGAGTTAGATGTAGTAATTGATATGACGCAAGAGTTCCTCTTCTTTCTTCTCAGCCTTCTTTGTCGCAATGCTCATATGGATGACCCTCCCAAATGTTCTAAAAAACGTCCACCTTGGCTTCACCTCCCCGCGAACGCTCCTCTATCATCATTTGTCAATCACTTCTCCTATATCTCAAGTCCCTGAACTTTTGTTGTTATTCTAGCAACATGCAATTTTGTCATTGTTTGTTGGTTATAGAAAAAATCATGAATTCTCTATTTTTTTTGGGTCAATCAAAGTATAGGCGCAGACACTCATACATACACGTACACTCATCCTATCCTTATAGGCACCTCCAAAAGAATGAGAATTGGTCGGCATATCTCGAGATTGACAAGAGTCGTCGCAGGCGTCTTGCAGTCGATAGATAAGTCATCTACAACTGAAATAACACTATTATTAAATCTTAAAATAAATCTAAAAAATGCGCGCACCCAACTCTCATGGTCTCGTCACACGCTAACTCGAACGGTCGTTAACCTCATGATCTCTACTGCCTCCGACACTACCCATCGCCTACCCATACCTGGACACATGACCACCACAAACACACGTGCGCGTGCACACCGGTATCACAAAATCCTGAGACATACTCCTGTCCCAAAATAGTTTTCCATCTCGCAATTTTAAGGAGTCAATCAATATCAACTTCGACTAGATTTAAAAAAATAATATCAACATTTGTATCTCTAGATAAGTTTACTATGAAAATATATAACGTTATTAATATAATGATGCTTATTTAGTATCTTAAATATTAATAATTTTAGTATATATTTGGTTAAACTTAAGATTGTTTGACTCCTCAAAATATAAGATGGAGCCTTTTATGCTTTCTTAAAAACTGAGGTAAAACTCTTTTTTTTTAAAATAAGATGGAGCCTTTTCTCATCATGAATAAGGTCACGGATGCTCGAAACTCAGGTGTGGACTGTGGAGAGGAGAAAAAGTGAAAAACACTGAAAGACAGGTTAGCTGCGTCCTGGATCTATTATCCGACTTGTGACGATTATATCCAAATAATTATATTTATATATTTACCAATGGGCAGAGGATAAAACATACAGAGACGACGGTGACACACTCTCTCTCGTCTCATCATCAAGGACACGCTAGATTACTGGACCCATAGACAAGCTGTCCCGTAGCTGCTGTGATTACTCGCATGAACGGTGAATTATCCTGTCTTTGCTATGAAAATATATGACGTTATTAATATAATGATGCTTATTTAGTATCTTAAATATTAATAATTTTAGTATATATTTGGTTAAACTTAAGATTGTTTGACTCCTCAAAATATAAGATGGAGCCTTTTATGCTTTCTTAAAAACTGAGGTAAAACTCTTTTTTTAAAAATAAGATGGAGCCTTTTCTCATCATGAATAAGGTCACGGATGCTCGAAACTCGGGTGTGGACTGTGGAGAGGAGAAAAAGTGAAAAACACTGAAAGACAGGTTAGCTGCGTCCTGGATCTATTATCCGACTTGTGACGATTATATCCAAATAATTATATTTATATATTTACCAATGGGCAGAGGATAAAACATACAGAGACGACGGTGACACACACTCTCTCGTCTAGTCGTCTCATCATCAAGGACACGCTAGATTACTGGACCCATAGACAAGCTGTCCCGTAGCTGCTGTGATTACTCGCATGAACGGAGAATTATCCTGTCTTTGCTACACAACTTGTGTAGTTTCTCGTCCTAAAGTTTAGTCCATATTTTATCGGATGTTTGATATATGCATGAATTATTAAATATAGACTAAAAAATAATTAGTTGTGCAGATTGCGTCTAATTTACGAGACGAATTTTTTAAGCCTAATTAGTACATGACGTGACATTGTGGTGCTATAGTAAAAATACAGTAAATATGTACTAATGATGGATTAATTAAGTTTAATAAATTCATCTTACGGAGTACTTAAAGACTTTTATAATTTATTTTATTATTACTGTTCGAACACTCTTTTTTTCCAGAGAGTGCGTGGGGTACACAAATAAACCACAACAACCTTGGTCTGGGTAAGATGTGCTTACAAGAGAAGCAATCATTCCTTCTTTGAGACTCCCTGTTCGCTTGTTGGTTTCAGCCAGACTTATTCAATCAGCCAACATTGTTTTCCTCTCAAAAAAACCAGCACCAGCCAGCCTAAACCTGCACAGCATCAACCAGCGAACACGCTGTACACTACTGTACCGGGCATGACATGGGCGCCAGGGGAACTTTTCGCTTTTCGCCGGCACAAGGCGATCTCGGCCCGCCGCCAGCGCAGCCGCGCAGGGTTTCCAGCACATGCAACTCCCACGGAACAGGGGAAAAGCTGAAAAGCAGAGCCTGATCATGCATACTACTACTACAGCAGCGGGAGGGAGAGAGAGAGAGGGACGACCGGACCGGACGAGCAGCGCAGCCGAGCCCCGAGCATGGAAACAAAAGGAAGATTCCACGGCGTGGTCTTTCTATCCTGCTCGTGACTTCTCGCGCTCGCGGCCCCCGTGAATCGCCATGCGCATGCGGCCGCGCGAGCGGGCCGCCAGGCACAGCGTAGCGCACAGCGGGCGAGCCCCGCTGCGTGTCGCGCCCCACATGGCCACGTCTCCCGCTACACCGGCCGAACACTGAGGAGAAGATCAGAGCCCCCGGCGGGCCGGGCGGGCTGCCGGCCGCGGGCCGCCCCGGCCGGCCGGGGACGCAGCACGAGACGAGCTCGCGTCCATGGCCTGGGATTGAGAAGGCGTGCAGCCGGAGCCCACGCGCTGGCAGGCATTCGCCACCGGCCATTGCATGATCGGTGGATCGCCTTTTTGTGCGGGGGCTGATCGATCAGCCGAGCAGTGGTGACCGGTGAAGTGGTGAGCTGGTCGCTTCCATGCACGTTCGCTCAGGTGATCATTGCCGCGCCTGCCGTGATTGCAGATGCGGTAGGCAGGCACGTCGAACCGCAGGCCCGCAGCGCAGAGGCGACGCTTTTACCCCAATCGTTACTCGTTGATTGGTTTGTTCGTTTGCTGATAAGTTATTGGTTGAAAGTATCGTTGGCTGATTTGTTGTTAGAAAAAATACTGTTCGTTGACTGAAAAAATACGATTTATAAGCTAAGCGAATAGAACGTAGGTGCTCGATCGAGTGCTCTGTTGCTGGATTTAGAATTCCCCAGCTCCATTTGTCGACAGGAATTCAAAGGTCCGCGATGCATGAATGCGTGTTTACCGTAGTCGTAGGGGGATCAAATCAGCTGAGGCAGACCGTGCGTCGTAGCTAGGCGCCATGCATCGCGAGAGTGATCGATGGCAGAGGAGACGAATTAATTGATGTCGCGTGGGTTGTAGCTGTCCAGCATCCATCTATCCGCGCGCGACAAGGACTTGTTGATCGTGGCTGGCTGGCCTCAAATCAAATCGGAGCGAAACAATGCAACGAGAGGCCTGAGTGCCTGACGCGTACGACGTCGTCCCGGCCAGCTGATTGCCAAGCTCGTCAGTCTGCAGCAGTACCGCTCATCATGCACAGCGCTCGGATCGGGCACATGCCTCGTTTCCAGGAATGCTGTCCGAGAGAGTAGCGTCAAGCCAGGAATTAGGCTTTTTTTGGATGTCACATCGGATGTTTTGGAGATATTGAAATGGGTTTTGGATACTAATAAAAAAACTAATTACATAGATCGTCTGGAAACCACGAGACGAATTTATTAAGCATAATTAATCCATCATTAGCGCATATTAGTTACTGTAGCACTTATGGCTAATCATGGACTAATTAGTCTTAAAACATTCGTTTCGCGATTTTCAACCAAACTGTGCAATTAGTTTTTTTTCGTCTATATTTAATACTCTATGCTTGTGCCGTAAGATTCGATGTGATAGTTTGAGGTGAAAATTTTTTGAAACTAAACCAAGCCTTAATATGCTTGTCAAATGACCAGACCAAAGTTTCAGTATATGTATATATATAGAGAAAATTCTTTATTTGATACTAGAAAAATGAATCGTTCCTTTTTTTTGTTCTGAAATTTTTTTCGTTTCTATTTGAAACTCACTTTAACTTTCATCCATAATATAACACCGTAGTCAAATCCACTAGTTAACCGTGTTGAGTGGCTGTTAAAAAGACATTTTTGGCCAGAAGCGCATGCAGACGCTGGGCCTTGGATGCATGCATGCGGCGTGTCTGGCCGCTGGCTGCTCTCTTCTTTTTTCTCAATTTTGCTAGACATGCCGCATGCAGGGTGGCCGGTGTGCAGACGCTGGGATGCCGTTTTTTCTTTTTTTTTCAACATGATACAGCAGCATGATTTGTAAGACGTTTATACAATATTTTTTTCAACATTTACACAGCATGATAATGACACATAATATAGCAAGTTCATATGAACAAGGGGGTTAATTCTCTTGTGTTACAAATTAGTTTGCCAAAAGCTAAGTAAAACAAAGAATAAATAAAGGGAGAAAAAAGGGGGTTAATTCTCCTATAATCAGTTTGCAGCTAAGTGTGCCTTGATCTGTTTCTCTGGGGCAAAATTTCTTCGTTGTCTTCTGCCTCTCTCTTGCGGCTGTTGCTGTCGTTTGTGGGGTTACTGCATTCGTTGCTGTTGCTGTTCCTGGTAGTGCTCCTGTAAGTGTAAAGCAGAAGGTGAACAACCACCGGCAATGTGAATTTGACTGCTAAATGACATTCATTTGCATCATGAGTACTCAAAAGAGCAAAAAGAGCAAAGGAACTCTACTTACATGCCTGCAAGGTGATTACCTTCAGCGAGTTGCCTGCGCTTAGCATCTGTAGGCCATCATCGTCTGTAAACAAGCAGCAGACCATTGTTATGTCCTCCAACTTCTCGAGAGTGGAGAGTGGTCTATGGGATTCATTGCTCACCTGCAAAACAAGAGACAAGAAATTGGAGCTCACTTGATTCGCGCACGCGAAATAGCATCTATGTTGGCAAGGGAACAATCTCATAAACTATTAAACTCTAAGAAGAATCTTAATGTTTTTAAGGAAACAGCATCCTACTAGCATTGCCACATTTGTCCCCCATTCTAGTCAGTTCACAGATGATTGAACACTAAATAGAGTATGTCCCTGACTATATATAGCTTATGTTCAATATACAAGCAGCTTCCATGTATTAAACATCCCCAGGGTTTCTATTTTTTCTAAGCTGGGCTTCTTCAACAAATGAAACGAATAGGTTCAGCTTAGAAGCCTTCAAAATCAGAAGATGCCTGACACTAAAATCATGTTTGCAACAGGGTTCTAGCTCTAGAAGGATGAATTTGACCTTTCAATCTGACTAAAGCAAAGCTTTAGTTTGTGAGAGCTTAAAGCACATCTAGAACTGGACCAAGCAAGTCCAACTGCATACTGCATAAGACATCTCAGTTATATTAGCAGCCTGAGATTTTAGCACAAATGCAGCTTGCGCATGCTCACTGTCCAAGCAGTTTCATTGCACACATTTTAGACAGCTTATCAACATTTATGGCATGAGATTTTGGCATGAACTATAGCAGTAAGACACAATTAAGATACCAAGAAAAGAAACTTCCTGATCTGGTTTTAACAACAGCAAGAGAGGCCACATAATAGACCAGTGACAAATGAATCAGCATTCAGTCAAAAGGAGGCCAATAAACTTTTAACCATGGTTTGCTAGCTTTTACTGAATGGCCCATAGCATATAACATAAGTCAACATCAAGTACATTTGAATCACAATATGATAGATACCTTCCAAGCAGCAACTAAAATCCAGAAATCTGATGATGATGAATTGACTTCAGCAGAGTCATCATCAATTATCTAACGGATCTCATTACCTGGCAGAAATTAATCATGAGTCAGAACCTGCATGTTTTATAGTTGTGTGCACCATTTTGTATGAGTCATTCTATGCATGAACTTGCATCATAAGCAATAAGAACATGATACCATACAACGGGATTGGGAAGGCCACTTAGGTTAAATCCAGAGCATGATTACAAAACTGTATGTTACTATTGTCCAAATAATGTAATCAGAAATATCTTCAACAAATTTTAATTAAAATGAAGTCATTGCAGATAACCTATAGCCACTACTTTATTTATGTGATCTATGTAACTAGCATATATCAGTACACAACATTCAAATGCTAGCTGAGTTTCATTACTTCAATACAGATTTTGCAGGGGATGTTTGGATTCAGGGAAATGAGGGTACGATAGGGATTAGGATATGGGACATGGAAAAGATGGAGGGTTAGAACCCAAGTAATGAATCCATACCCTCCTAATCGCAACATCTACACATAAACCTACCTAAACAGATAAGAAAGCATCAAATCTCAAATGGATAATCATTATACATTACACAGTTCACAAAAGAGCTCTGTAATTGTGAATATCTTGTCATATGTTTGCAGCAAAAATGAGTGGCATATTAGTGTTAGAACAATATATAAGTGCACAGCCACGAGTCAGTTCACATATGATTGAACACTTCTGAATTCTCGACAGGTCAAGTCACAATCATTTTCAATTGAATCCATCAGAGGCTTCAGACCAATCGTACTACTGACCAAAGAGACTGATACGAATTTCAGGGATGCTACCTTGAGGTAGGAGATGTCAACGCTGCGAAGCTCGGGGCACTTCTTGGCGAGCAGCTCGATGCCAATGTCGGAGATAACTCACGGCACCACTTGACGCTGAGCTTCTCCAGCCCGGGGCACCCGACGACGACCTTGGCGAGCCCGACGTCGGTAACGCCGAGGCACTTGTCCATGACGAGCTCCCTGAGCCCCGCGGCAGCGGCGAGGGCGGCCATCTCCCTGTCCTCAGCGGCGACGTAGTGGGACAGGCCTCGGCTCGCGCGAAGGCGTGGCTGGCGAGGCGGTAGGACTTGCGGTCACGCGGGTCGCGCACGCCCGCCAACGCGTGCGCGAGCAGGTCCAGCGACAGCGCGTCCACGCCCGCGCCGGCGCCGGCGGAGGAGCTGCCGGGGTCGTCGTGGCTCATCTCGCGGGGCGACGACGGTCGAGATCCGATCCCGCCGGTCGAGCTGGTTGTGGGGAGCGCGCGCCGGCCGACGGGGCTTGCGCCCACAGCCTTGCCGCCACGCCCCGCCCGAAGGAGCCACCGGCCGGATCCACATCCTCCCCCGTCGGATCTCCTTCCATCTTGCCGCCGACGGCCGGCCACCGCCAGGAATCAGCCCGCCGCCGGATTGGTCTAGGGTTGGAGCCTGGGACACTCGCGCACGGGAGAGAGGACGGGAGACGCACACGCACGGGAGAGATTCGACGGAGGGTAATTTTGACCCCAATCAAAATATCTGACAGCGTGCCCCAGGGTCTAACGGAAGAAGCTAACGGAACGGATGGTAGTGTCATATTAGGCATAAAAGTTAGAATGAGTATCAAATAAGGAACGAAAAAAATTTAAAAGCCAATAAAGGAACGATTCATTTCTCCGTTGTCAAATAAGGAATTTTCTCATATATATACTCCCTCCATAAGTCGTTTTTGATAGTGACACGATCTCCAAAGCATAACTTTGACTACTTATTTTTATAAAGATATTTATCAAAAAATAATATATATAATTTTTTGTGAAAGTATTTTTAAAGACAAATATATATATATAGTTTTCACATTTTCAAACTCAACCACTTAAAAATTATTTATAATTTATATTTCTAATATTTGACCTGAGTCTTTTTAAAAACAACTTTATTTTTTTCAATTACGGAGGGAGTACAGCATATGTATGCATGCATGGCGGTGGCGACGTGCGTGGTTGGAGGTAGCCGTTGTGACCTCGCTCGTCCCACTTTTCTCGGCGGAACGCGATCCCCGAAAAGCAAACAGCATCCCGAAAACCACACCACGAACTAGCGGTCACGAAATGTCGTGCTTGTCGTGAGCCTAGGCGCCATCCTTTGGACGGCTACAGATTAGGATTAGATTATCAACGGTGGGCTTCTTTAATAAATCTTTATTTAATCCCCAACAGTTCTACTGCTATGTGGAAATGTGACCAAGCAAGGGACGAAAACAAAGGGAATGCTATTTGGTCAAAGCTGCGAGTGTAAGAAAGCTACGGATTATGACATACCACGTTTTTTTTACAAACTCAAAACCCGCTATTGTAATTAATTAGGTTTGTGCATTATATCTGAGCATATCAGAGTTAGAAATTTGTATCAAGGCCAAGGATGGACCAAGAATGACCTTGTCAATTAGTTCCTTATTACCATGTTTCAATATAGTGATTGTTTCGGATGACATACTCCCTCAATCGTTATTTTTTAACTGTCGTTCACACTTCCCGAAAAGTCAAATGTACTCAACTTTGACCAAATATATACAAAATGTTTTTATCATTATGGTACATAATTATTAGCATCAATAGGTAGATCGTTGAATCTATTTTATAGTAAACTTATTTGGAGATACAAATATTGTTAATATTTTCTAGAAATCTAAGTTTGACTAGCACGAATACCATACATTACTACACAAAAAAATTTACCAGGTGTTTCGAAAATGGGCTCCGAGGCGGTTGGGTCGGTTGCCCGCCTCGATTATTTATGGTAGGGCAACCGGCCCAGCAACTATCTCGGTTAATGCTTAACTGAAGCGGACAATATAAAAGAACCGCCTCGGTTAATGCCTATTAACGAGGCGGTTGCCCTAACGCAACGGTGGTTGGTTCAAAGCAATCGCCTCGGTTAATACTTATTAACCGAGGCGGTTGCCTTATGTCGTCGCCTCTGTTAATCGTGGGTGAGCCCACCTGGCCCATCTGACCCGGTAACAATTTCGAAGTATATATACTGAACTTAGGGTTTGGAGGCCACACTCATCTCTCCCTCTAAAGCATCTCGTGCCTCCCTCCCCTCATCTCCCGTGACCGAGAGACGGCGCCCGTGCCTCCCTCTCCCAGTCTCCCTCTTGCTCTCCCTCTCCCTCACCCGAGCCCAAACCCACAGCGGCGGCGCCTCTCCCTCCCTCTCCCGAGCACGGATCTAGAGGCAGCAGCGCCTCTCCCTCCCTCTCTCGAGCGCAGATCGGCGCCTCTCTCCCATAGTCTCCCGAGCGCGCGGATATAGAGGCGGCGACACCCCCGAGCTCCTCCCCTCGGCGGTGAGCGCGGATCTAGAGGCGGCGGCACCCCCGAGCTCCTCTCCCGGCGCCGAGCTCCTCATCCGGCAGCCGCGCTCCACCAGTGGAGGGCGTGGATCCGGCAACCCGCGGTGGCGGCGGGCGTAGATCCGACAAGGAGCTATGGCGGCGACGCGGTGGACGTCCTCTAGGCGGCGGCGAGCATCTCCGACCGACGACAAACATCTCCGGCCGGCGAGGAGCGGTGGTACGCGGATCTCAGTGGCGGATCGAGCACCCACGGCTGCGGCGGCGCACGGGGCGGGGCCTACTCCCCGGTGGCGGTGGCCCAGATCTAGCGGCGGATCCGGTGGCGAATCGAGCACCCCTAGCCTGCGGGCCACGCGGAGCAGGCGAGCTCACCGATGGGCTCTGGGTTTTTTTTTTTTAATCCATTAACCGAGGCGGGCATTTGCAAGGTGCACGCCTTAGTTAATCGATTAACCGAGGCGGGCAAGGCAACCACCTCCGTTGTTCAAAATCGTCCGCCTCCAAAAATCAAAATCGCCGTCTTCGTTAAGTTTATTGTAGTGGTGATAGCAACACTTAAAAACGGACAGAAGAAGTACTATACAGCTGAAGACGCCTAGTACATACCACACCTCTAAAAGATAGGATCGATGTGGAGATCTCGATATTGATAAAATCAGGACTCAATACACACGCCACCTTGCTATCCCAAATTAAATGTGCTATCACCCGTGCTAAGTCAAAGACGTGAAAGAAAGGGGCCTAATCAAGTGAGGTATACATATACGCTCATTTCATGTATTTATTAACATAATATACCAGCTCCATATAATGGGATATATAAAGGGCACGGTGTGGCAAGCTTTTCCTAAGACCTCCAACAAAAAAAGCATTGGATTATCCTCCTAGCGGAAAGTTGACGTGTGACATTGCGGAGAACGGGAGAAGACAGGGATTATAACAAGTCAAAAAGGCCAAAACAAGCATGTAGTACAAAAAAAGGTGTGAATGGACCAAAGTGTAAAGGTAAAGGTGATAGAAGAAAAAGAAGAAGAAGAAGAAGAAGAAGAAGCATGCGTTCCTGATCTAGGGTTGCCATGAAATGTCACCCTAGTTGGTGCCCTGCACAACTGTACCACACCCATCACCCTGAAGCGCTTTACTTACTGGCCGGGTTTAGGTAACTTGTAGATATTGGTTCTAGAAATTATAATTTCCAACGGGTTGTGCCACGTGCATGCGTGGTGTCGCTGAGTTCTGTATCGGTCTAGAAACGACAAGTGTATTTTAATTTTAAATAGAAAGAAAAACAAACTGTACATATTTCTACTAACAATTATATAAGTTTGGGACATATAATCTACATTGACAATTTGTATATATTTATAACATTTTTTAGATTATTTGAATTCTTCTTTGGTAAAATTTTACATCGTTATACCGAATCTTCTATGAGGTAGAAGTTACTGGACGCTTCTATTGTCACTAGCGGGTGAAACTGATAAGCATAATTTTTCAAAAAAAAAACTGATAAGCATAGTTTTTTTTTGAGGAAAACTGATTAGCATAGTGGACAGACCGACTGCCGTACGTGCGCGTGCACGAATTTCGGACGACATCGTCGCTTGCGTGCCCTTGACAATTGGCGGATTGACCAAGCTACAGTAGTGCGCAGATTATTGACAATTGGCGGCCTGCAGGCGGTGCACGGCACGAGCGCGTCGCATGCTAGCGAACACTGCTGGTCGGGCCGTCGCGGAGGCGCAGCTGGAGGCTGGACGCTGCAACGGCCAACAGGGCTGGTGGTGCTCGTGCCTCGCTCCCTCCCTCTCCCTCCCTCGCCGTTCACCTGCTCGATCGGCAAGGAGTGAAATCCCTCGCAGGTCGTAGCGCCTACGTACGTAACGTAACGTACGTCGCGCATCTCCACGCCCCTTGGCCCGTCCCGCTTGGCCCCATCTCGCCCTTCGGATCCCTTTTTCCTTTGCTGCTACTCCTACGGACGGACGGTGTCTGTGGTGTGTGAGCGCGACTGTCTGTGTCTGGCATGGGCGATTAATTAGCCAGACGACTCGCTCTCAGCTCAGCTTCCACGGCGACTGCCATTGGAACACCGGTAGCTTTCTCTTTATTAATCGCCTTTTGGGATGGGGGAGCCCCCAGTCCCCCACACACGCGTATAGAAAGAAACAGAGTCAAAACCCCGCCGCCTCCCTATATATACGCTCTCCGCCCGCTGCCTCTCACTTCACTCCCAAGCGTGCCGTGCTCGGTCGGTTCCTCAGTCAGTCACCTCCACTCCCTCCCCGTCCCCCGCCTCTGCCTCTGCACGTACGTATGCCAACGATACAGCGTGCAGAGATGGGAGGCGCAGGCGCAGGCGCGCCGCGGCGGCCAGGTGAGGCGGTCGAGGTGACGGAGCTGGAGCTGCTCATCCAGCTGCTGGGCGGCGGCGGCGGCGGCGGCGGCGGCGGCAGCTACAACATCAACGACAACGGCGACATCCTGGCGGAGATCCTGTCGCGCCTGGACGGGCGGTCGCTGGCCGCGGCCGCCTGCGTGTGCCGCCTCTGGGCCGCCGTGGCGCGCCGCGACGCCGTCTGGGAGGCGCTGTGCCTCCGCCACGTCGGCCCCCCCGCGCCGCCGGCGGCCGCGGGCCCGGCAACCCGCGCCGTCGTCGCCGCGCTCGGAG